CAGGGAGGAGTGGGAGAGGGAGAAGCAGGCTTCCCACAGAGCAGGGAGCCCAATGTGGGGCTCGATCCCAGGCCCCGGGGATCACAACCTGAGCTGAAGGCAGACCCTTAACGACTGAGCCACCCAGGTGCCCGAGGCTTTCATTTTTGATACGAGATTTTTAATATATATGTGTTCCCTGAATGTGTTTTCTTTCAACAGAGTCTATTTATTTATTTATTATTTATTTATTCATTTTGATTTATGCAGTATCTTTTACCTCTCTGAAAACATTTATGCCATTTTGTTTTTTTTCTTTATATTTCATGTTAGAGGCTTCCTTCAAATATCTGGTTATTGTTGGTGTTTGATGATATATAGAAGACTCTAAAAGGCTCACTGGACACTCTGGGTGCTTGCCCAAGGCTGAAAAACTGTGAGCTTTGCTATAGCATGATATGTTGGATCATTTTGTTTGGAATCCATGATATGTGTCTTTACATAGAATCAATGTAGTGTAATGATTAAGAATATGAATTCAGTAGCTAATCTGCCCATGTTTGATTCTTGGTTTTGCCCTAAGTAGCCACATGAATTTGAGCAAATTATTAACCTCTCTGTGTTTTGGTTTCCTCATTTGTCAGATGGCTGGAAAGATACTATCACCTAATAGAAATCTTGTAAAATTAAAATGATTTAATATTTATAAATAATTTAGAATAATGTCTCACACATGTTGAACTTTATCTGTGTTAACTGCTCATCATTATCTCTCTGGTGAAGTTCAGTTGGTGCTTGAAAAAAACTTCTATTGTTTCTACTGGAGGAATTCTAAGGAGCAGGACAGAAACAGGGCTGGGTTGTAGACTCCAACTTATTTCTTCTGGTTTCAGTATGGGCTCCCCTGGCTCACCTGTGTGCAGTGTGCTCGTTTCATCTCTAGAGAATAAAATCCTCTAGTCCTCTGTTTGGGTGGGATGGAGCAGTTATTATGCTGCTCAGAGAAAGAAAGGGGATCAAGGATCTAACTTTTTAAAAGACATTCTTTCAATAAATTTTACTTTTGTTAGATCTTTGATCATTCTGGCTTTGAGAGGGATATAAAAATGCCAATCTCTGAAAGTTTTGTGGGCAGGAAAGGGTTCTAAAGGTTACTTAAATCTAAGGAAGTTACAATTCACCTATCTTCTTTCCAGCTTCCAAAATTTTGTTTCTGTTGTACATTGTCCCATTCTTTTTCACCTTGTGGTTTCATACCATGGGAGAGAACATGTACTCAAAGATTGTATTCAACTTGCCATCTCTGCCACAGTTCTTGGTCTTTTTTTTTTTTTTTTAAGAAAATTAACATATAAGCATTTGGTGGTATGCTCTCTGTTTAAAAAATAATTGGAATTATAAAAATATCTCACTATCATATAGCGTGCTTACACGTAGTGTCTTATTTGATCCTCACAAAAAACACTGAGAGGTTGGCAAAGTTATTTGACTATTATGAAAACTGAAATTCAAAGATATTAAGGGGCTTGCATAAGAATGACTTGCATAGATTCCATTAATAAGAGATACACAACTAGTGATCATTACTTCTGACTCACCCACATTATTCAGAATCTATATATTACTTAAGTAATAAGTAAGTAATTATTTCTGAATGGTCAGGTTTATTAGAAAAACAAAATCCTAAGCTTCATATTCAGCCTATGAGTTTGTTCAGATACTTTTTCAAATACTTTGTAAGTTGTCTTAGCTTCTTTAAATTTGAGGGTTTCAGTGAAATTCATGTTGTGCAGACCTTTTGTTTTTAAACCTGATACACTAGATTCTCTTCACTACTAACTATAATAGAAGTAATAAGATTGCCCGAATGGCATCTCCCCACTACCACACACACAGAGCCCACAGAGGCAGTGATGATTTTTAATAATATCTCTTTATAGCCATAAATGGGAGGTGCAAAGAAGTGACTCTGCTAAATTGGAAATTGAGGTCGAAGAATGACAACAAATCAAGCAAAAAGCCACATAGAATATCTGTGACCATCAGATAGTCAATTTTTCTAAATTGAAATATTCCTTATTTGGGTTTTTTATTTTTATTAAGAGAAACAAAACAATTTGGGTGACTTTTCTATCTAAACCTATTCTACAGTTTTAAGAATAATAGAAATATCTATATCTTCTGCAGGTAGGAAAGATGAGTGAAGCTGTACAAAAATCATAGACAATAGATTTCTGAAAATTGGAAGTAAATCAGTAGGAGGTACTTGTGTAGCAATGGAAGATTGGAAATGATTAGTTTCAAAATGAATGTCAATAGTAATTCTAGGAAGTACTCACAGAAATAAAATATCAGTGCAGGAAAGCAGTCAAAGAATTTCGTATGAAAATATATTTTGCAAAATCCTTATTTCATCAATTAAAGGTCATAGATTAGATATTTCAAATGTAAAATAATTCTACATTCACATTAATTTAAAATTAAACTATATATATCTGCAAAGGAGATTAGGATTAGTTTTTAATTTCTTGGTTTTCAGTTGTTAAAAAATTTGATCTGTTTACACAGCAACATATTAATAAGGGATATGTTATACCTTTAAAAATGTAATTCTCTTTTTTAAAATTTCTTGTGATACATAGTCTTTAAATTAGAAAATACTACTTCTAATATAATTTTTTATAATATATAATATGAAATTCTAATATATAACAAGTTATAAAAAGAGAAAGACATAATTATGTATCATTTTATAAATATATAGACATATTTAAATGATTAGTGCCATTGTAAATATTCTGTTCCCCCCTCTTTGAGACAAAAATACTAGTGCTCAAGTTTTATTTAAATTATCTTTTTTTTTTTTAAGATTTTTATTTATTTTTTTGAGAGAGAGAGAGAGAGCATGAGAGGGGGGAGGGTCAGAGGGAGAAGCAGACTCCCCGCCGAGCAGGGAGCCCGATGCGGGACTCGATCCCGGGACTCCGGGATCATGACCTGAGCCGAAGGCAGTTGCTTAACCAACTGAGCCACCCAGGTGCCCTTAAATTATCTTTTATCAATGAATGGAATGTGTTATCAGAAATTGGAAATCATGTAACTAAAGCAATAAAACATCGATTGTTAATGTTCTCATAACTGAAACAAAAAAGAGAATTTAGGCAATTTATGGCCAATACAAGTAAAAATAACTTTTTGTACACTTTCTTATCTTTCTGCTTGGTTTTGGCCTCGGAGAGTATGCCCATATTATGATATTACACTAGCCCTCTCCTTTAAAGAGTTACCTTTTAAATTGCCAACTGAAAGAGAGTGCAGTTTTGAAGACATACATTTTTAGAATTATTATTTATGGGACTGTGTATCTATCATCAGCCACAGATTTACTAAATCAAAAACTGTCCAATTTATTTTTTTAAATATAAAAGCTCCTTAATCTGCAGGTGAGCTTTAATTTTGATTTTATTTTGTATTTAGGTCTCTCTTAATGCAAAGTCTTAGGAGATAAGTTCTTTACCTTTGAAAGGAAGTGAATTTATTCTAGCTATCCTCGTATGTTACTGACTTGGAAAGTCAAATGAATCTATGCAAAATCTCACTATTGGTCTTAACTATTCCAATAAGGATTTCATCATAACCTTAAATATTCCTTTCATTTTTCTTTCCTATTTCCAACATATACTTATTTTACTTTAAAATAATTGAAATGCCGCCATAGCTTCTCACATTTGTAATCCTATCAATCTTATTCTAGATGTTCTAGCTGCTATCTTTTAAACTTTGAGCTGCTGGCCTTTTAGCATGCTTTAGTGTTTCACTGGAGAGCAAAGGTTTGCATTTGAACCCTCTCTTAGCCCTAATGCTATACTTGTTTTTAGAAAACACTCATTGTACATTTAGGTCCCCCCCCTGCCCCCAGTAAATGTAAGGTTTTTCTTCTATCATCATTGAAATAGTGTCTGAATTTTTCTAAATATTATCGTGCACCTTTATTTTAGTGGAAGGAGTGGTAATATCTCATTTATGACCTGGCACATGTAGGACCTAAATACATGCTTAAACTGTAGCAAGATTGCATATGTATTTATTTGAAAACAGTTTTAAGTTTTTATGCCAGTGAAACCAATATAGTGTATATCCTCTTTGTGTTTATAGCTTCAGTATTATTTTTCGTATTTGTATAAGGATTTAACTAGGGTAAGCGTTTACAGATGAACTTTTCATAAGCAGATGCTAACCTTGTCCATGGTTATGTTTTTACCAGTGCCTTCTGAACAAAACCCATTTCTTTCCTTCACTAATGAAATCCTAGTGAAGCCTTATTGAGAATTTTCAGGTAGACATAAAAACTATTCAATTTTATTGGTCCAGGAATATTTAGTTAGTAGATCTGAATGGTAGATGTCCTGTTATCCTGAGTCAGGCTAAAAGAGGTTCTGTGGTGTCCAGATTGTGTCCCAGTGGAGATTTTTATTTGTTACAAATTGCTTTTTTTGTTCAGCCTATATCTTTGTGCATACTTGGAGGATAATGTGACATCAGTCTTATAGTCAACCATACTGGGAAAAACAAAAACAAACAAACAAAAACTCAAAGTTTTGCAGTGTCATTTGGTGTCCAGTGTCTGTGTCTTCCAAATTTGATTTTATAGTTATGGTGAAAGATACAATTATATACATGAGATACTCATGTGAGATACAAGCATAAAAGTTCCTCCTATTAATCTTGTTATTTTTAATTATTGCCTTCTATGATTTACTAGCTATGCATTTTTGAACTTTAAGTTATTTTTTATATGTTTGTTAAATAACTCAGTGTTAAACCTGGAAATATGCGATATGGAATTGCTATGAGAAACTTTTTTTATACAGATTTTAATTTCTTTGTGTAGATATCACTATTATTAATAAGACAATTATAAGGTAGTATGAGTCAATGAAATACAGTCAGTTCCATCTAAATATTGTAGGATCACATGGAAACTAAGGAATATCTTTCTTACTTATTTTATTTTTTCCTAGAAATCAAAAATATCTACGTATGACAAAATGTGGGCCTTTATGAGTAGCAGGAGGCAGTCAGTACTCGTCAAAAATAATGAAGAAGGAATCCAGAGAGTCCTCACCTCTGATTATGCTTTCCTAATGGAGTCAACAACCATTGAGTTTGTTACCCAGCGGAATTGTAACCTGACACAGATTGGCGGCCTTATAGACTCCAAAGGTTATGGCGTTGGCACCCCCATGGGTAGGTTTTATGTCAGTCACTGGTTCTTTGTTCATTAATCTTAGTTGCTGTGAGAAGGAGAAAAAACAGTGCCTCCATATGTGATTAGGAATTCTGTTTTTAACAAATCTATTCTGTTATGTTCTGTTACTGTATAAAATCAGGAAGCAATTTGGACATCTGCTTCTAAATAGGTAAGTAACAAAAGAAAAATTGATTTCTACCAAAATGGTCAGTAGACATTTCTACTGTATCAGTGTTGAAAAAAACCCACATCAATGTAAAAGACCCTCTCAGTTCTACATTTAAAAAATATTTTATGAATAAAAGTTTTTGTATTTTATTTTTTCAGATTTGTGCTTTATGAGTATAGTATTTGAGTTATTATAGTATAGTATTGAGTATAGTATTAGAAAGTTAATTAAAAGAATGAGCCACAAGTGGTTCATTGGTTTCTATGGATATTTGTTTTACTGTTCTATTTTAGAGATGGTATTTGTTTTATTTAAGAGAAATTGCAGACTATTTACCAGTAACATACCAGTAACATACCAGTAACAATTACATAATGAACTCAAACAATAATTATTTTTGACAACCTTTTTCTTTCACATGACAAAATTATTTTCAATAATTATCATGAAATGAAATAAAGGTTAAAAAAAGAAATGGGGCACCTGGGTGGCTCAGATGGTTGAGCGTCTGTCTTCAGCTCAGGTCATGATCCGAGGATCCTGGGATCGAGCCCCACATCAGGCTCCCTGATTAGCAGGGAGCCTGCTTCTCCCTCTCCCTCTGCTGTTTCCCCTGCTTGTGCTCTCTCTCTGTGTCAAATAAATAAATAAAATCTTAAAAAAAAAAAAGAAGTAAAAAGAAAAAGGATAACAACTGTCAGAAGAGACAATGAAAATTTTGATTTATTGAAATTAATATATGTGTATAATATATATGAATATGTCTATATATTCATATGACAAGTGCAATCATACATAACATTACAGTACATGTGTACATGTGGTGGGCATAATAATGGCTCCCCAAAGCGTCTTAATACATTCAGGCACCTATACCAAAATACCAGAGATGGGGTGGCACATAAACAGCAGAAATTTATTTTTCAGTTTGTAAACTGGAAGTCCATGATCTAAGGGCCAGCTGACTCCTTGTCTGGTGAGACCTGCTTCTTGTTTAATAGATGGCTTGTCTTCTCGCTGTGTCGTCACATGGCAGAATGGTCAGGGATCTCTCTGGAGTCCCTTTTATAAAAGCGCTAATCTCCTTCATGAGGGCACCATCCACTGACTAATCGGGCCCCACCTCCAAATACCGTCATATTGAAGATTAGGTGTCAGTATAGGAATTTGGGCTGTCACAAACATTCAGACCATGGTGTTGGGGAGTTGAGAAGAGAAAGAGACTGAGAGAGATTTGAAAATGCTACCAGCTGAACTGTACATGGAGGAAAGGGCCACAAGCCAAGGAAAGCAGATGACTTTTAAGAGTTAGTTTAGAATGCAAGGAAACAGATTCTTTCTTAGAGGTCGAAGAAGGAATGCAGCCTTGCAGACATATCACTTTTAGAACTTCTGACCTTTAAAGTTATTAGATAATTCATTTATGTCGTTTGAAGTCACTAAATTTGTGGTGATTTTTTTTTTTTTTTAGATTTTATTTCTTTATTAGAGAGAGAAAGAAAGAGAGAGAGCAAGAACGGGAGGAGGGGCTGGGAGCTGGTGTGGGGCTCAATCCCATGACCCTAGGATCATGACCTGAGCCAAAGGCATGTGCTTAACTGACTGAGCCACCCAGGTGCCCTGTGATGATTTGTTATAGCAGAAAGAGGAAACTAATACTATATAAAAGGAAAAAAAAAAACATTAACATGTTTTAATTACATCAATGTATTTTTTGAAATAAAGGGGAAAACAGCTATTCACTGGCCCATCACAGTAATAAATAATAACATTATAATTTTTCTGAGGCTTAACTTCTGCAAATTTGTTGACAGGTCAAAACTGATCTTCAAGTATTCATATTCAATAAATAGCATAGCTATATTTATCAATTTATCTTTACTCATAAATTTGATTAACTTTAATTTAGAAAAATTTCTTTCAAATGAACATACATACAATAGTTAGAAAGTTGGGCATAGATTTATGAAAATCCAATTTCATAAACAATTCCAGAAATTACAATACTATAAATGTCTTTGTTTCTTTGAGATCATTTCTAGCAGCTTTCAAATGTCTGGGAAGTCCAAGACTTTTCCACCATAATGACTTCACCAAAAAATTTCTACACTAAATTCTACTATATTTGGTAGAGTTTTCTCAAATTTATCATGTAGTTCAAAATAGCTTGGACTGGCTTTGAGAGAATTTTGAGACACTAGCTCTTATAACACGACATATTGCTATATATATATTCTAAAGATTTTATTTATTCATTTGAGAGAGAGAGACAGAGAGAGCACAAGCAAGGGGAGAGGCAGAGAGAGAGGGAGAGCTGGGAGCCCAACTTGGGGCTTGATCTCAGGACCTGGAGGTCATGACCTGAACCAAAGGCAGACGCTTAACCATCTGAACCACTCAGGCGCCACAACATCTTGCTATATTTATATAATAGACCCAAATAATGATTCCACAGTCACTGTAGAAGTGAAAACAAGCAAACAAAAAACCCCACAAAACCTTGGATTCTTATTCTCCAGTTATGCAAGTGTAGCTGAGATCACGTGTCAGGCCGTGGTGGGGGTAAACTATATAATGGACATTCTCCAAATTAGTTTCCAAGTAGAATACAATGTTTATTAAAGAATAAGAAATGACATGTATGTTAATTCAAAGCTTAATTAAAGTTGGGTTATTAAAACTCAATGGTAATAATTTAGAACTTAGGTGCACAGAAGATATTTTTGAGGTTATTTTTGACATGTTTGACTTGCTAGTGTGTGGTAATAGTTGATGTTATTGTTGTTCTTAAATTCTGCACACAAAACGAACCCATTTATTGCCTGAACCGGGGGAAAACCTCCTAAACAAAGCCTTATTGGCAAAATGCATATATTAATTCAGAAGTTTTATATTTAACTCTAATATATGATAAATATTTATTAATGATTGAGTGTTCATAATTACTACTTGAGGAGCAAAGTTTTTTGTTGATGGAGTGCTCAAACTGTGGCATGCCATGGTTAGGTCTGGTATGATCTAACCCTCAGAAGAATTACATAATGAACTCAAACACTTCATGTACCTTTATTTGGAATTTGTGATGAGTGACTTCTTTGCCATTTTTTCAAGTATACTTCACTCATCTATGAATTGGAGTATAAGCAAATTTATATTTTAGACAATAGTCTGATAATGTGCTATTAGAAAGTATCATCATGTACAACAACCTTGCAGTTCCCTAGAGGGTGTTATGGTAAGTGAAGTATGTCAGACAGAGAAAGACAAATACTGTGTGATTTCACTTGTATATGGAATCTAAAAAACAAAATGAAGAAGGAAAACAAAACAGAAACAGACTCAGATACAGGAAACAAACTGTTGCTTCCCCCAGGGGAGAGGGGCAGAAGGGTATGTGGGATAGGTGAAGGGAATTAAGAAATACTAACTTCCAGTAATAAAATAAATGTCATGAAGATGTAATGTACAGCGTAGGGAATCTGGTCAGTAGTTGTAATAGCTTTGTATGGTGACGGATGGTATCTAGACTTTACATGGAGATCATTTAATGTATAAAAATATTGAGTCACTATGATGTACACCTAAAGCTAATAGGATATTGTATGTAAATTACACTTCAATTAAAAAAAGAAACTGTCGGGCGCCTGGGTGGCTCAGTTGGTTAAGCGACTGCCTTCGGCTCAGGTCATGATCCTGGAGTCCCGGGATCGAGTCCCGCATCGGGCTCCCTGCTTGGCAGGGAGTCTGCTTCTCCCTCTGACCCTCCTCCCTCTCATGCTCTCTGTCTCAAATAAATAAATAAAAATCTTAAAAAAAAATAAAAATAAAAAAAGAAACTCTCATATGTAGTATTCACAATGATATTCTAGATTTAGCCTTGTCATTTATTGTAATCTTGGACAAGTCACATGAAAGTTATGACTTCTAGATTTCTTTTTTTAATTAGTAAAATTAGAAGGTTATAGGAAAACCTAAGGTCTCTTTGATTTAAACTTAAAACAATTTTTCTGATACTGTTCTTGACAAATTCTGAGAGTTTGTTCTAAACTGGGCTAAGAACTACATGGAGAAATATGGTTAGCTGATGTCTTAGAACAAATTTCTAAAATCAAGCAAACTCTGCACTTATGAAGGGTAGGAACAGTGACTTGTTAGGCTCCCATTGCCTTATAGTTTCATCTGGAAAGAGCTGGGACAAATAAATGCATTTCTCAGTGTTGTCTCCGAAAGGAGTGAGATTCTCATATGTCCTTACCATCTTTTGCTGCTTTACATTATCTGGATGAGGGCATAGATCTTTGTTTCTTTGTTGTAAGCCTACACAACAGCACCTGCATTCTATGGACCCTCTAGTATTTGTTGAGCACATGAATTGTACATCTGAAAATATGATGATGCGGTAAGTTTATAAACAGAGAAAACACATAACTTTTTTTTTTTTAAAGATTTTATTTATTTATTTGAGGGAGAGAGAGAATGAGAGACAGACAGCATGAGAGGGAGGAGGGTCAGAGGGAGAAGCAGACTCCCTGCCAAGCAGGGAGCCCGATGCGGGACTCGATCCCGGGACTCCAGGATCATGACCTGAGCCGAAGGCAGTTGCTTAACCAACTGAGCCACCCAGGTGCCCGAAAACACATAACTTTTAGAGCAAATAATAAATATGGCATTTTACATTATTAAATATGATGACCTCATTAAACAAGCTTGAGTAATCCAGGGTAATGAGAAGTAAGATTTGAGAAGGATGTGTGAGAACTTTGCAGTATAGCACAGGTATATTATTTTATTATTATTTTTCTGTTACAAATTTCTATTTAAATTCTA